CAACTATTAGGAAGTTACTGGTTGTATATTTTTTATTTTATTTTCTGGTCTTACCAGTGGTTTATCATAGAGTACTGAATCAATTTCTCTTTGCAAACACCTTCAATTTTCATAATAATCTTGAAAGTCATCCTTTGTTTTCTAAAAAGAAATGATGAGTGATATGATGTGATTTGTAAAGTTGTGTTAATCAACCACCTTTTGTTTGTCAGCTGATTGTCAAACCTGGAATAAATGTTGCATGGAAACAATATACAAGCCTTAGGAGCCATTTAATCAATTCTCCCCTTTCTTCGTCTCTCTTCCTTAGCCAGAGCCGTCAACTTTGCTAACCACAGCGCAGCGTGTTTGGGGCCTCGAATTGAGAGCACTCTATTCTTTCCTGTTCGTCCGAGTCCTAGCCGAGCCCCTCCATCCCATCCTATAGCGATTGGAGCGGACAGCCGTCCTCATCCCGGACGAGGACGAGACCGCCTAGAGCTGCCCGGGGGCCGCGGGCTGCCCTCACGGCGGAGATAAGGGGGCCTGGCCAGCCCCCGTGGGTCCGAACGTCCCCGCCGGGCCGCGCCGAGCGCTGGGAGCGCCGTGCGGAGTGGAGACACGAGTTGCCGAAGACGACAGGTGGCTCCCCGAGAATCGTCAGTGAGCGTTTGTTCTTAGCGATGACAGCCGCTGCCGCGCTCTGGCTGCTCGGCGTGGTCTGCGGGCTAGCCGCCCTTTCGACGGTCGGTGCCGCGGCCGCCCCCGGCTCCAGGCCCACCCCTGCCCCCACCCAAGCCCCTGCTATTACCGCCCCTGAAGCGCTTGCGCTCAGCACCGGGGGAGCGGCTCCACTTGATGATTCCAGCAGTGGCTATCTGAGTCCTCGGAACAACAGTGCTGATCGGCAGTTGTCGACGTCCGAACAGCGCAGCCACAGCCCTGACAAGGACGCCCTGGCAGCAGCCACCCCTATCGGAGGTAAGGGGCAGTTGGCAGTTGACCGAGTTCCTGGGCCGCTCGTTTCGTCCACTTCATTCAAATGAATTCGTTTCCAACATTGCCACCTCTGTTTCCACTGTGCAATGGTATAGCATATTCTGCTGTCCGGCGGACACGTGTCCGGCTGGCCCCTAATGTCTTCCTGTTAGTAGATCTGGTGAAGGGCCTCCAGCCCCAGCCAGCTGTCTTCATGGCAGCCGTCTTGAATTTCTTGGGCTAAGGGAAGGCCACTGACGCGACGCCCCCGACCTGCGGGCGCGGGAGCCGGCAGCCAAGATAGGCAGACCGCCAGCGAGGCTCGAGTGCTTCAGCCTTGAGTCTGCCAGCGTGATTGATACAGAAATGAATGAAAACGGGAACAAATTGCCCCGCGTTCTTCCGGTTCCTTCCGGGGCAACCCTCCCAGTGCGGGCTGAGACACTCTGCCGCCTCTCGAGAGGCAGGTCCAGGATCCTGGACTCTTCGCCTAGCAGTGTCTCCATACTTTCCTCCACCCACACTTGCTTGTGGAGCCGTTTGGGCGTGTACGAGTATCGGCACACACTTGGTGATAATCGGGCGACAGCACGTGTCCTTACGTTAGTAGATGACCAACACAATTAAGTGCTCGTTCAAAGTACCAGGCGATATTGTGTTTTTTTCACTTCAGGTGCGACGGGTCTGACGTGGTCTCTCAGCGTGTGTCGGTAGTCACGAAGCGAACTGGTGTATGGTGCAATTACTTTTGGGGGGCTGTAGTAGCCCGGCACGGCCCTTCCAAGAAGCACCGATTCTCCTTTGGCACTTGTCACTGTCTGCACGCGTTTCGCCGACCCGAGCCTCTAAATGCATGTCCTGTTGACAGTTGACACTAATTTGCGGTCGACTTTCTGTAAGGGAAAGCCCGCTATCGCAAAGTCACTCGAATAATCTCGCTCTTTGTACTTGTCGCTGTCATGGCTTAGTATCGATTTTCCGTCACTGAAGGTCACCATTTGATTTGATTTAATCGAGACTCTTGGAGAGGCGGGTCAGTGGCCTGTGCTCTTCTAGACGCGGTTGCGCCGGGCTGCGATTGCCCTACGACTTCGACTGGTCCACCAAGAACAGAGGGCGAGGGCTAAACGAGGAGG